CAATTTCCATGACCTCTACAGTAAGTCATACAAAATTGCAAGTTATGTTAATCTATATGCCCCGATAGAACACAGGGTCTGTGTTTGGCTCTTTAGCCATAGAAAAGAAAACTCACCTTTGTCGTCGCTGTCAACATCAAAGTAGCGCTGAAGTTCAGCCTTAGAGAACCTGTGGTTTGGCTGTAGATAAAAACTCATAAGGCTATCATCTCACAACAGATCTTTTGAAATATATTGTTTTTTGCCAAATTTTGTTCTTCTTGCTCAACTAAAGGAAGTTTTCATCTGCAATGACCAATTAAATGGTCTCACTATTCTAATAACCCCCGTCATTCCTAATAGGTAAATCAGAAATCACGTGCAATATATTTTTTGGATTGAAACTAGGCGCACGCACCGGAGAACAATGGAAAAGAACCGCTAAGGAGTAAAATACCATTTACAGTAACCTAGGTCTTAAGACAAAATGACTGACTTCTAAAAAGGAAAACAGAATTCGTTTTTAAAACCAAGTGCTGCTGATAAAACAAATTAAATGAGCTTTTGAACGATAAAAAGCAATTATTAAAGATATCACACAATATTGTTTGAAGCCAGAATCGATTGGAACGTGACAATTTCGTGTAGCAATTTCGTACTGGAGTGATAAAAAAGATGGCAACATAAATGGCTTTTGGCTTGGCCTACCCGTAGAGGATTTATTGAGGGGTTCCATACAACGAATGTTTCACAGTTATCGCAGTGGAAAGAATATTTTATTCAGTGATTTACTGAATGCTCCATTCTACGAGGCAAACCGTTCCCAACAAAAAAAGTGTTGTTTGCACGACTTAACGTCACTGAAAGGCCACTGTATGAAAATCTGTTCCCAACAGACATGTCTGGCGGACATATCCAAGGGGATGTCTTTCAAGAACTACGCTAGGCATACTGGAAAACGTACCACTGGTGGTCCGGCAAGCGCCATTGCGGCGAAGGACAAGAAGAGAGAAGCTGACAGCATCATCGTGGTATGGGTCTTGGAAACCGGCAATCAGAATGAGAAACGTGTGTCTCTGCACCGGTCTTTTAAAGACTTTCCTGCCAACGCAGTTGTTTCAATTTGTTTCGGTATGATATTAACGGAGGGTTAGGAGAGCCAATGACACACTTATCAAAACAATCCATCTGATTTGAAACATCATTGAAATGGTAATATCGAAACGAAAATTAGGCCTATCACTACAGCTGAAAATAACTTTTAATATTATATAATTTCCTGCAATGTTTTAGACTTCGTTCTTCACTTAGGCCTACCTTTTGAAGAAGACTGACATAGTATGTAGTTTAAAATTGTACTAATTTCATGATCTGTAGCAGAGGAGTCTGCTGGGACCAGCAAATTAAGTGTTCAATGTTACTGATAATTATGGGATGCGAAGTGTGTCAGGAAATATTTTCCGAGAATATAAGTTCCCGAAAATATCCTTGTTTGCAGACATTGAACCTGATATTTAATTACCAACTCATTGCAGTGTCCTCATTTCTCAGATTATATTGCCTTTATTTGGTAACATGTTTTTTTAATGCCACCGGGCCAGGTACGTCGGACAGAAGATTGCGTCTGCTGTTTTCATCCAAGCAAACATTACCCAGCATTTACAATCATTTCACTCACGAGCCCAGAACAGGTTACCTAGGCCTATTCGGGGGTAGAATCTGATTGTGCG